TATGGGGTAACTTTGACAAATGGCCATACAAAATTATAGGTTTGCCTTTGAAATTCAAAGTTGTATATCACTCATGCAACTTTATTGTATTTGTTTGTTTAATTTAGTTGAAGACGCATAAGTTAATAAAGAGTGCTCTCTATTTACCCCTCTATATCAATGTTTGACCAATTTTTAGGGACTTAACTATAAAATTTAGTCTTTAGCTATGTTAGGAAATGTTTTTAAAGTGTAGCTATGTTTGCTTAGTTAGTCAATTTTCTTGGTCATATTTTGGATCTCCTAACCATAAACACATTCCCAACTACTTCAAAATTTCAATATAAATAGACATGTTCAAAGGCTTATTTTATACAAAACATAGCTACATTTCCATATCAAAAATTAAAGAAAATAGGCAAACTATTTCTCCCTTCATCATCACTATTTTTTTTCATTTTCTTCTCATGTATTACAACCCTAGCAACAAGTCAATCCCCTTTAGTGACAGCCTTTTGTCACAAGAAAATCCAAGACCCTGCCTTTTGCTTAAAGATTATTGCATCAGACCCTCGTTTTCAAACCGCGAAAACTACTCATGATCTTGAATCATTAACAATCGATTTGGGATTGAAATTTCTGAGAGGAGTAACTAATAAGTGTACAATACTATTGCGAAGAGAAAAAGATATAAAAATTAAAGCTTCTTTGGGCTCTTGTATTGGAGCATATGGTTTGATTAGGTTGAATTTTGATAAGATGAGAGTAGCTTTTCAAACTGGAAGACCTTTAAGTGAAGCAGGAGCAGATGCTAAGGTTGCTGTTTTGAAGTGCAACTATGACTTTGATAGCCAAAAATTGGTATCCCCTCTAGCACAAGATAATCATAATATGTTGAATTTCATTCAGATTATCGTTGGTAACTCTATATGAACTTTTTCGAATTCATTAATATGATTAGAAGTTGAAATTTCATTAGAAATGTAGCCTAGGTAGAATGATTTATTTATGAATGGAATAAAAATTGTTCTTCTTTATTCACTATGTTTTATTTATTCAAGCTATTAGATATCGGTTTCGTAGTCCTGACTAATTAACCCCGGCACGTAAAGGCCCATTGACGATTGAACATACATAAGATTATTTTTTATTGAAAAATTATTTTAAAAAATATATAAAGTTTGTTAATTCAAAGATTGAATATTTGACATTTCAAATTCGATTTAATGATTTAGTACATATGTTTTAAATATGGGGAACATATACGAGAAAAGGCCCAAAATAGTCCCTCATCTTTGGGTTAAAACTCAAAGTCATCCTTGAGTTTTCACATGAAGCATTAATAGTCCCTCATGTTTGCATTATTGGTGCACTTTTGGTCCTCCTTCAAAATATTGCCTACTTTTTAACATTGATTTTATTCATAATTTATGTATGGAATGTTTAATCGTTATTTTATATATTTAGTAGAAATAATAACTCCATGTGAGAGATTGTGAGAAGAAAAACACATTGTTTTGGTTAGTAGAAATCGTATTGCAGGTAAAGTCGAGATGTTCATCACGATGATTTCACGTGCAATAGTACAATTTTTTCTTTTCTTGCAATGTCATATGTTAAAATGTTCTTAGTTTAAGCTGCAGTAATATTTATACTGAATAGAACAAGGTGTTCTGTTAGTAGAAATCGTATTGCAGGTAAAGTCGAGATGTTCATCACGATGATTTCACGTGCAATAGTACAATTTTTTCTTTTCTTGCAATGTCATATGTTAAAATGTTCTTAATTTAGCTGTAGTACTATTATACTGAACAGAACAAGATGTTATTCTTCTCACCTTCTCTCACATAGAGTTATTATTTTTATTAAATATATAAAAAGACGATGGGACATTCCTTACATAAAATTATGAACAAAATTAATGTTAAAAAATAGGCAAAAGTTTAGGGGAGGACCAAAAGTGCACCAATATTGCAAACATGAAGGACTATTAGTGCTCCATGTGAAAACTCAAGGATGATTTTGAGTCTTAACTCAAAGATGAGGGACTATTTTGGGCTTCTCTCAACATATACTATACTTTTTCTTTTATTGTTTTTTAAAAATATGTGCTAACAAAAAATGTAGTTCATCTAAGTTCTACTTTTAATAAAATAAAGTATTTATATTGAATTTTTTTGTAATAATATCAATTATATATTAATGTCACGATTGTGAATCATGCGATTTATTGTACCGGATTAAAAACCAATTTTTTTTTCTTGGTAACCACATCGATTTATCTAAATTTCTGAAATTGAAACAACACAAAACTTTAATTAATCAAAATCGAAATATCTATTTTAATAATCTAACTCAAAATAAATATTCAAAGCCGATTGAATAAAAAATATTTTGTTTCAAAGCAGTTGAAAGAATTGTGAAAGTTTAACAAAGAGCAAATTAAGGAATTAAAACCTGGTTTCATAAATTATCGTACAAAATCTTTATTTTTTAAATTTACCTTTTTACTTATTTTTTTTTAACCGAATTTGTTATATTTTGTAAGATTTCTATTGCTATGTTTAGAACAAGTCAAACTATTTACAAATAAATAATTTAGATGCTTAAATTACATATTTTTTTTAAAAAAATCCTTTTTTTATTTTTGGGAAAATTATATGAAGAATGAGTGAACAAATACATAAAAATTAACCCATAAATCTCACTCCCTAATTTAGCCCAAGTTTCCATTTTTTTTTAGATCAAAATCGTGATTTCTTAAATAGTTAATGTTTTGTACATTAAAAAAATTATATCTATGTATTATATTTTTGGTCTGTAATATATTAAATATGTGATTTTTCCTTTTATAATCAAACTTCAAAGTAGTACTTTATACCCGATTTTAGCATTTACTTCATATTTTACATCTCCTAACCATAAACACAAACTTCAAAATTCCATTATAAATAGACATGTTCAAAGGCTTATTTTATACATAGAAGAAAAAAACATAGCTCCGATGGGCAAACTATTTTTCACTTCAGCGTCACTTATATTTTTTATTTTCTTGTCATGTGTTACAAAGCTAGCCACAAGCCAATCACCTTTAGTGACAACTTTTTGTCACACGAAAATCCAAGACCCGGAGTTTTGCTTAAAGATTATTGCATCAGATCCTCGTTTTCAAACCGCGAAAACTGTTCATGATCTTGAAACATTAGCAATTGATTTGGGAGCAAAATTTGTGAAAGGAGTAAGTAATAAGTGTTCAATTCTGTTGCAAAGAGAAACAGATCGAAATATTAAAGCTGCTTTGGGCTCTTGTAGTGGAGCATATAGTTTGATCAGTATAGATTTCAACAGCATGAGAGTAGCTTTTCAAACAGCAAGACCTTTAAGTGAACTAGGAGCAGGTGCTAGGACTGCTGTTTTGAAGTGCAATCAAGACTTTGATGACATGAATTTGGCTTCCCCTCTTGCACAAGATAATCATGATTTGTTGAATTTCATTCAGATTATAGTTGGTAACTCTGTGTAAGCTTTTTGAATTCATGATTATGATTAGAAGTTAGAAATTTCATTAGGAATATAGAATAGGTAAATGATTTATTTATGAAAGTAGGGAAAAGAAATATTGCTCTTTATTAACTATGTTTTATCCATTCAAGCTTTTTATCTCTTTGGGTTTTCATTATGTTCACCTTTTTTCTCTTTGGGTTTTCATTATGTCCGACATGAGCTTCGAAGTCCTGACTAACCACAGCCCCCTAAAACAGAATATTTTTTCCATGGGATAAGGCACAAGTACCCCTCTAGACTATGACCAAAACCCAGAGACACACCTAAACTTAACTAGTGTCATAGTCTAGGGATACTTGTGCCTCATCCCTTTTTTCCATTCCTAGACTCGAATCTAAGATGTCTGGATAAAGTGATTCTATACCTAATTCATTCCACAACAATAGTTGGTGATGGAGTAATTGGAGTTATGATTACTATGGATAGGTGAAAAACTAGGAACACAAATGGCCATCTATGATATATAACTTCCACCACACCAAAATGTTTTTCTGATTTTACTAAGCAAGTACATGTAATTTGCATCAGCCAATGAGAAAGAAACCAAGAATCTCTTTCAAGATGCATTGTTTTCAACTTGGATCTGGGAAGGCTAACAAGATGCAAGTATATGTAGTGGAAGGAGAAGCATAACAAGTTTGCAAGTGATATAAACTGAACAAAAGCAATCTGAGAAAGCTAATGTGCAAACGACAGAATCTTTGCGTACTAGATAACCCAAAGCCTCTAATATGTATATAAATTGCAGAAATCAGTAACCACAGGTAAGAATTTAACAAAGGAAACTAATACATTGCACGGCTAACTCCTATACAAATATCCCAGAGACCAGTCCACAAGTCTAAATAGCAGCCATTTTTTCAAGAAAATATCTGTAATGTGTAGCTTTGATATACACAGTTTTGAGCTATAAGGCGTCAAACTGCCATCTAAAGAAGTCTCATCAAAGAAATGGCATACTATTTGAGGCTGGGCAAAATTTGAGATGCAGCTTAACCAAATTAGTTGCATTTCCATAATTGAAGTGGTACACCGGGGGAAAGAGGTATATGTGGACACAACTTCCTTTAAATAACAGCTCCTACTGACCCTCAAGTCTTCTCTTGGATTTATATAAGCTAAAAGTGTTTTATAATGCTCAAATTGAGTCAATACAAACCTCGAGGTTTCATAAAACGAGAAACAGGCACACCATCTCTTCTTCAAAAAAAAATTTGAACAAGTATAAAAAAATGCATGAGTGAATAGAAAGGAATGCACCTCTACTATAGAATATGCACCAGCGATTTAAAACTAAAAAGAATGTAGAAATGTACCAGCTACTTAAGGCTTCACTAGAACAATCAAAAACAATGCCTTGTAGGTCATATGATCTTAGCTTATATCTAAACTTCCACTAAATAGATCAATCCATTTGGCCATCACGTCAACATTTCACTAGTTTTTTCTTAATCAAGTAGGTAAGCATTTCACTATTTTCATATCAAACTGGAGAGAGATTTCAGAAGTACAGGATCGACAAGTATTTTCCTTTTCTTTTACGAAAGGAAAATAGACTTCCCACAAGCATGTAAACTGCTGAACCACACATTCTTGTTACTATTTCAAGACTGATTAGACCATGCTAATTTACAGATAAGCCAACGAAAAATATAATGAGTGAATCAGTACATCTAATTGCAGATTGGTAGAGCAACCGGAACTCAACTGAAGCTACAGCTCACTATAGTTGCGCCAGACAGCTCGGAATTCTTCACGGAATGTATTGAGGCGAGCCTTCAAATTAGGACTCCTGAAGCTTGCATGAGCAAGAGTGGCTGAAAGAGAGAGAGAAGAGAGTTTTATTCCATCATAACATAGAATTTGAACAAAAAAACAAAATTACAATAAGAAGAGAGAACGCACCAAGAAGACCTATACCAAAAGCCCAAAGGACGGTTAAAAGGCCACAGGAAACAAACCAGAGGAAGAAACTCACTGCACAATTGCACAACAGTATCAAACAGAATTTCATAATTCAACTCCCAAAGATTCAACATGAAAGTAAAGAAGAGAAAGGAAGATAGAAAACATAAACTAGAACAAACACTTCCAGTACCTATAGAGAATACAAAGACAAACACCCAACGAGGCCTTCCACAAATGAATATTGCTCTTTTAGTGGATGGACGCCCTCGAATAACCGGCCTGAACATTATCAAATATATGTCACCAGCGATACAGCCTCAGTGTGCTTAAAAATATAAATATACATGCATACTTACGTGAGTGCAGGCCTCATTTTTGCAGCTAAATGAGGTGAAAACTGTCTGACAGTTCTTGTCACCTTTTCACTAAAAGTACCTGCAAAACTGCAGGAACAATCCTTAGCAACATTAAAAGATACAGGAATAAAGTATGAATGCTATTATCAAACCTTATTTCTTCAGTGGAAATTTTATTTTTTGATTATTAAAGATAATATATTCAAATATCCAGAAGCATCGAGAATGTGCTATGAAGTATTTACAGGAAAAATATCAATACACATAATGTAATGAACTCAAAAAGTCTATCATGGCATTTGTGTCATATGCAATAGCCATGTTATACCGGGAAAAAAAACAGTTAAGAGATACATCTGTACTTCAATGTTAGGTGGCTAAATTTGTTTCACATGCATCTCTAAACAAACAGATTAGTATATCCAACAGATAGTAAAACAGACAGTTGGAATCGGTTATTCTTCTACCTATTGACGCATAACCAGAAAACCTGAAGCAACAAGCTAACATGAGTGCTTTTCCTTCTAATATGAAAGAATTATTATTGACCAGGGAAAAACATAGAAAAACTTTCAAGGAGTTCAAATAACTTGTGTCATTTTCTCTCCATATGGAGGGCAGGGTATGCTAATGTGTCACGAATGAAAAAATCATTTAGTTCACTACTACATCCCTGCATCAGAAGGGTATTATTTACTCGTAGACCAAACCAAAAGACTATCCTGTTCAACCTACTGCAGTTTTAAAGCCATATAAGTCTCCAAGAAAAATAACTCAAAGCTAGGAAGGCTAACTTTTAACCCTATGATAGATAGGAGAATTTGAAATTTTATGAATAAGAACAGTTTGGAAAAGCATCAAGTTTAATTTGAATAAAAGAGAATATAAATAACCTGCACAAAAGCATAACGAAAAAGACGAGCGGATCAAGAAGGACATAGATGTCAAAAGGTGTTAACCCCATAGGCGGACCCACATGCAAAGTTGGGGTGCATATGCACCCATTAACTTTAGAAAAAACCATGTGTATATATGTATATCTATCTTGGGAAACTGGTAGAAACTAGGATATAATTAACAGTGCACTTATGAGTAGCATAGGAGTGCCTTGTGCCGCTGGTACAAGCCAAAGGTACCACTCGTGAGACCAAGGTTCAAATCCAACTAAAGTTTAGATTGGTGCACATAAAGTCTTCAAATCCTGGGTTCGTCTCTATTTAACCCACCACTCAAGATGATCCACGTCCCATGTCTTAACAAAAAAATTGAAAATATTTCATTTGTTGCACAACTAAGCCAAGGTATTACTTTATCTGGAAAAGGTTCAATTTTTTCACTCGCCTTTTGACTTCCCTTAACTTTGCTCACCGATAGAAGTTAGTCACAGAAACACCCTTGTCGTTACCCGTACAAATCATATTTGCCTTTCTTTGCTAATGAAGTTCCACCTTGTGCATTTAATCCAAGCTGGCTTTTTAAACTTGCCATGTTTGCAGACTCGTGAAAAGAACCAACCCCTTTACCCATATCACCCCTCACCCCCCTCCTTCACATTGTTTATTCTAACCATTTACCCTCTTTCCCCCACATTCCACCTTAGAAAAGCAAAGGCAACAATACAAAATATAGGCAAATGGTATGTAAACTAAAACTCTAATGGCAAAAAAAACCTAACCAATAGATCAGAATAGAATACCTGTCATTTAGAAAAGCAATACTAAGTGCTGTCAAAAGCGCAGCAACAATTGCAAGTGGCTTCCTTAGAAACCCCAATGCTGCAATACAAAATGCAAATGAATGTACTTATGAGCTCCAAAATAAACACGGTAAAGCTAAAATTCATATACATAACTCAATAATCTTTCATTACCAAGAATAGCCACAATCATAATAAAGTAATTCGTCCTGTAACTGCAAAAGATTAAAAAAAAACATTTTAAATGCAATTCAGAAAAACCTAATTAGTGCATTGAATTGCCAATTAAGAGAACGTACTAGTAGAGATTACACTTGAGTCGACTGTTCCATTTGGAATAAGATCGGGGGAAAGTGAAGCGAGAGAAGAATTCAGAGAAGGGACGTGGTGGAGATGACCACTCGACTTCGCGTAGAGCCTCAATTAGATCCTCTGTGGTTACAGTTCCCCAATCCATTGTTGAAGAATAGGCGAAACCCTAGAATTCACCGGACACAAAGCAAGGGAAAAAGGGACTGAAGTCTGAAGGCTTTTGGAAATTCAGCTCTGCGGAGAGTAGTAAAATGGTTTGAAATTTTTTGGAATGGTGCACGAATGATGAAGATGAAGATGAAGTGCGGTGGGATTGCTTCTCGTTTTTTAGTTCGAGAGCCGTGGGTATAGAGAAAATTGATTGGAAGTGTCACCTTCGAATGAGCACAGTGCGTGATTTGGATTTAGACGGAGCTTTAATGTGGGTTTTGATTCTCCGAATACCAAGTGGGAAATAAACAAAAAACAGTGTCAATTCTAATTTAATTGAAGCTCTAGTCTGGGCTTCGAACATCGAGTGTGAAACAAAAAAAACTAAAAAGCACGGTATGATTTTTTGGGGAGCTGAATGGGCCCTGTAGTACGCGATCTAGATTTAGTCGAAGCTCCAAACACCGAGTGAAAAACTACAAAAGTTTTTGGGGAAAAAAAGCCTTCGCAATCTAAATTTAGTCGGAGCTCCAAACACCGAATGGAAAACCAAAAAAAAAAGTGTCTGAGCCCGGGTTCGAACCGGGGACCTCTAGTGTGTGAGACTAGCGTGATAACCGACTACACCACCCAGACACATGTAAACGAGTTTCTAGGTTTATCATTTGATAAACTTTAAATCAAATTGCTATAGTGATATTTATTTATAGAAAAAGTTTATGCTTGAATTATATTTTAGAATTTTCAAAATATGATTGAAATGTACATCAATTGAGTATTTAATATGAATTAACTATTTACGTAAAATAAATTAGATTTATTGTGATGAAGACCTGTCCCATGCATACACTAATTTAGTTTTCTATATATTTTGTTATGTTGTAAATGTTGTGTTAATTAGTTATGTACCTCCTTCTTAGAAAAGATAATTCAAGTTTTGCTTTCACTAAAATAGCTAGGTAGATGTGAAATTTTATATTAGATTATTTAGTTATATAATTTCAATTTCATCAAAAACTTTCTTTTAATCTTTGATTTTAATTCCTTAGCTATGAGCATATGAGGCATCACACAGCTAGAATTTAGTATTTCTTTCATTGATTAGTATGTGTATTCTATTTTTATTTGGGGAATTTTCACATATAGTCACTCAAAAATAACTTAATTAAGTTTCATAACTATAGTTTGCTAATTACAATTTGTAGCTACATGTTATAGAGAGGAGAGCGGCGAGCGAAATTGGGAGAGGGAGGAGAGAGGCGAGCGAGAGAGGGCAGAGAGTGGAGAGAGACGAATTGTATATGTATATATGTCAAAGTAATTGTGTATATGTAACTGGTATACATATGTATTTGTATATCTGGTGAGTGAGATTGGGAGGGGGAGACTGGGAGAGGGAGGAGAGAGGCGAGCAAGAGAGGACAATAATTTGTATAAATCGCATCTCGTTTGTATAATTTGTGGGTACGTTTGTACAATTCGCATGTTTTTGTATAATTGAATAATACAAAGTTTGAAATTATACAAATATGATAAAACTCGAAATAACAAATTGATACAAACATAAACATATGAACTTTAAACAGTTATACAAATTATATTATACAAATTAAATTATATAAATTATATTATACAAAATCCGAAAACTACACGTTTATACAAACTTTAAAAATTTATAAAAAAAAAAAGATTGAATGTATACGGTGATAAAATTGAAAAACCTAAGGAAATCATCGTCATATACAAATACAAACAATCGTATACAAATACAAATAAAATGAAGAATTATTAGTTGTGAATTATACAAATCTGACTAATTATACAAACTCGAAGTCAGCCCATGTAATTAATGGTTAATGTTAGTAAAAACCTAAGGAAATCATCGTCATATACAAATACAAACAATCGTATACAAATACAAATAAAATGAAGAATTATTAGTTGTGAATTATACAAATCTGACTAATTATACAAACTCGAAGTCAGCCCATGTAATTAATAGTTAATGTTAGTCACGAGTAATAATTACAATAAACTATAGCTATAATGACTAATTAAATAGTATAAATTTGTTCAACCACGTAATTTTCCCTATTTTATTAAGCCTGCCTATTAAATAAAAAAGTGGCACCATTGTATCTTCAAATTCTTCTCTTTACTCCTATTTATGAGTTTGTCATCTTGATAATTATATAAATATTGAACTCCTAATTATTATTTTTTCCATAAATAAGCATTTTAAGAATATGTGATATAGAGATCAATGAAGTTGGTTGCTATGAGGTGTGATATTTTAATAAAATTGTCATTCATGAATGCATTTACGTAAACTAATCCGGATAAATAGGGTAAATTAAGTGCAAATATGTATGTTGACCGCTGCACCCTGACACGGCACACTAACATCAAACTTCCAAGTCCAACACAAACACTGATAAAAGAAGATGAAGAATTCCATTGATATCTCTCTTCAAGCTCTTCATTATCTTTAATCACAATCACCAGAATTCCTTGCTGATAATCTGAATTATCACCAATTCATCTCCATAATCTGTACGCCTCTCTACCAAAACTTCAATACAAAAAACTTTGAATTTGATTTATTCTGCAATTGGCATAATCTGAATATCAATTTGACTTCTTCGGATTGTTAGGGTTTGGGGATATTTGCAGGTGTGATGGATCAATCGACGAGCAGAGGTGGGAAATTTGTGATTAGGGACTATGTGGTTGAGAAGCAAATCGGGGCGGGGTCTTTCTCGACGGTGTGGCTAGCACGCCACCGTGTCAACGGCACAGAAGTGGCGATCAAGGAGATTGTTACCGCTCGGCTCAACAGTAAACTCAAAGAGAGCCTCAAATCTGAAATTGTTATTCTACAGAGAATCAGTCATCCTAATATTATTCACTTGCACGACATGATCGAGGTCCTACTCTACTCAATTCAATTTCATTGTCTGTACTACATATTTAGTTGAACAAATTTGTTTATGCTACTACTCAAAAAAGCTTAGGGGTAGTTTGGTAGCTGGTTAGATTATGCATCTATTAGTAATAAATATAGAGATTAGTTACGAGTATGTATTAGTTTTTGTATTAGTTAGGCAAGATTTAGTTATTACGCTTTCTAGCCTACATAAATAATACATACATTCCCTCGTAACTTAGATTAGTATAGTTATTTGAGTTTCTAAATTGCAAATCAAACACCGTATTAATTTCAAACATGAATAACTTATTCCTAACCAGCCACCAAACGTGATATTCCTTATGCCAGCTACCAAACGTGATATTACTTATGCAAGATATAGTACCTACATAACTCACCTCCAAACCAGCTACCAAACGACCCTTTACATTTTTCCTAGAAGTTTGGCTAATCTCTAATAGAAACATTTTCTTTTAAAAAAAATAAGCACCTTTGGCTTCTTAGAAGCTTGGGGAAAGAGGCTAGTAACAATATGAAATTATTAGGAAGTGTCTAACTTGTATAAGAGAGATTTAACTCCCACTGTAAAGATAGTTTTCCCTTCTTGAAGTGTAACGGTAACTTGCTGTGGTCTTTCTCTTTTTAAACTCTAGATGATGATTAAAAATTCAGCACTTATGCGTAGCTATGGATGGATAGTATATCCTTTTTAGATGTTATGTAAATTTGGAACTGTATATTTACTATTTGGAGTTGCATTGTGTTACTAGCTTTATAATTGCTTAAAAGAGAAACAAAATGTTTTTCCGACCTTCATATACGCTTTTTGCTTCTTATCTAAATGAACCCTCACGTGCATGGGTTATAGGATCCGGGGAAAATATATATTGTTTTAGAGTACTGCAGAGGGGGTGATCTTTCAATGTACATACAACGACGTCAAGGGAGAATCGCAGAAGCAACTGCCAAACATTTCATGCAGCAGCTAGGTTTGTGTAAACTGTAAAGCTTCTATTTTCTTCTGCCTATTTTCCTGTATTCACTTTAGACTGAATATTCTTTTATGAATTCCGCATGGTAATATTCATTTTCATATCATGCCACAGCATCTGGTCTAAAAGTCCTTCGCGAAAACAATCTAATCCACAGGGACCTAAAGCCTCAGGTTTGCTTTCCTTCGTGTGTTATGCTCAAAATTTAGTTTGCTTTGGTGGTTGCCTTGACAGCCCAAGCTACAAATTTAAACATATGAATTTAGTTGTTTTTTGTCTAAAGAGGAGCATTAGGTGCTGAAACGTATGTTCCTTTCCAGAAATTCTCATTTTAAAGTCATGACCATGTAATGTCTACCATTGTAGCTTTTTTCTGTAAATATTAGAAAAATGACAGCTGCAAAGAGACTACTGATCAGTCGTGTACTAATGATTTGACATTACCAAGTAGCAGTGGCCTTGTTCTGTCCGAAGCAATCTACTATATTGATAACCAGATCCTAGTAGCTAATGATTTGAAGAAACTAAAAGTAACGATTGAATTGTTGGAAATACTTGCATGACTTACGGGTGACCAAGGTGTGCAATTGCCTTATTCTTGAATAGCTAATTACATTTCTCTAATGTAGGTTTCTTATTATTAACTCATTAATCAAAATAAATATATCAAAGAAAAGGAAGGTATTCAGGAGATGAAATCCCAAACTAGTTGGGTCGGCTATATTAATCCTTATTGACCATGCTACTCCATATAATCCAAGGAGACGACTGTCTATAAACAAATATAGTGACATTTTTTTCTTCAATTTGGTACATCTTAGTTGAGGGAGGGGAACCAAATGTGTGGTTTTCTAGGAGTAAATAGTCTCTCTTTGGTAGTAATTCTTTCTTTCTTTCGGAGATAAGTACTATTCTGGAAACTTCTAAGAATTTGAATTGTCGTTCGGTGGAACTGTCAACTCATTGACTTGTGTCCTGATCCTACAGAATCTTCTATTGTCTGCAATTGATGACAACTCCACCTTGAAGATTGCTGATTTTGGGTTTGCAAGGTAAAGTTGTAGTACACTGTCAGAAACGTCAATCTCCTAATGTCCCCCTTCCACGGAGAAGGTCTTTTATTTAACATTTTTCATCTCTTTCAGAAAAAACATTTGCTAGATTCTCTTTCATCCTTCCCTTCTGTTTTAAGATTTGCAGCTTTAGAGTTAAAGGTTCTCCTAAGCTGTCCGCTCAAAATTACCATTCTCTCTTGTCAGATCTTTGCAGCCTAGGGTGCTTGCAGAAACTCTATGCGGGTCGCCATTGTACATGGCTCCCGAAATAATGCAACTTCAAAAATATGATGCAAAGGTGTTATTCTCTTTCTACACACACCAGTCCATATGCTATTCTCTTTTAAATTCATATTAACTTTTGGCTCAAAACACAGGCAGATCTCTGGAGTGTTGGTGCCATTCTGTTCCAGCTAGTAACTGGCAAAACCCCATTTACTGGAAACAATCAAATACAGGTTTAATTTCTTTTCAGCTGTACATAGTAACTTACCTTATTGGTTGTTTCAATTTCAGTTTAACTGGTGACATTCAAATGGCTTGTAGCCAGCCCTGTTTTAACTTTTTTCCATTTTTCCTGTAGTTGCTCCAAAACATAATGAGGTCCACTAAATTGCAATTTCCTCTAGATGCCAAGAATCTAAGTCCTCATTGCATAGATTTATGTCAAAAGTTATTGCGCCGTAATCCAGGTACTTCTTTTATGTTGACTAGATTTCAATAATTTAAAATCCACTCATTGATTGTTTCCAAAACCTCAGTACTTAGATCATAGTTTTTTACATGCTTTGCCATCGAAAATGCCATAAGATTGAAAGCCTGAGTTAACCGTTACATGGCATTTTCTTATGAAAAGTTCAAAATTTCTATTTCTGCATATCTGAACGCACAGTGGAGCGGTTGACATTTGAAGAGTTCTTTAACCACCCATTTCTTGCACAGAAGCAGCCTGATGAGTTGTCTAGGTAAGCTAGTTGATGAATTAACATACTTGATATGACATACACGTTTCATGGCACTGACTTTATGTTTTGGACATGCTACACAGGAATCAGAGACCTCAAAGGGTAATAGATGGGTTTTCTCTGACAGAACGCAATCCTGTAAGGCGCACTGAGGAAACTTTTCAAGAAGATGGCTTACCATTTAGTTTAGATGATGATTCCAGCAATCCTGATGGTGGTCCTTCTTTTGCTGGGATATCACTGAGATCTTCCTGTGGATTTTCTCATGATGCAAAAGATTATAGGAAAGAAGTTACAAGTGCTTCAAACAAAACCGGTCCTCCTTTGAATTGTAGCAACATCAACCATAAATCAAATGTTATTGGTTCTAGTCCTGGCCAACACCGACATTCAGAAGGCAAGCTGAAGGAATCCAGTTCCATGGACCATAGACTATGTCCAAGAGGTGCTCTGTTCAATAATGTTCCAAATTTTCTTTTTGCCTACATAGTTGAAATGAAAATTCTCCTTTTGTTTATCCTATCACTAGTTTGGTCAGATTTAAATTTGCTGATTTGGCATTCACCTGATTGACTGATCCAACAGTGGCGGATTCATTCGAATTGATTGAGCGGGAATATGTCCTTGTGTCTGGGTCCCTCATGGACTCATCTTCTTCAGCAGGTGCTTCTAGGCTTAGCAATACACCATTTAGATCAAGTTGTTCCCTGCAAGCCTCTGGGAACATGGACTCTAGATTAAGTGAGTCTGTGGTTGTTGCTGGTCCTGCAACTAATAGCATAGTACTAAGGTTGGAAAGTCCCTCTTCTGCTCCAGGAGCTTCACAAGGATCCACAGATATAGTAGACCCTCTGGAGAAGCCAACTGATGGCATAGCCAGAATTGAGTCGCTGCAACATTCTGCTTCTGCTATCACAGAGCTGGTCAATGAGAAGGTAACTCACGTTAAGGCATTTTCCCTTCAAAAATGTTAGAAGTCCTATATCTGAATATGTTAGGTGGTTCTTAGCATGCAGGGGTGGAGGGAGAACACTTAAGTCTAGTTCATTATATCCTGCAATCTTTTTTCTCCTACTCTTCATTTAGAGAGCAATACAGTTCTGTGGTGGCCTTTCAACTCTTGTTTATCATTGATTTATTGCATGCATAGTAGGGGTCTAACATCTTTGCTCAAGCTTGTGTCATCTAAATTTATCAAGTTTTACATCCCCGTGTACTTCAAAAGCATTTTTCAAGGTACCTAGGTATGATGAAGATGTATTTTTCCCAGTTATTTATCAATAGTAAAACGTAGAAGGATGAACATCTTCATCTAGGTGCAGATAGACTGCTCTTTTTCTTTCTTTTTTTGGCTGTTTATTACTGGAATTTGTGTTAAAACATATTTATTGCTTTGCATTGTGTTCAATATCTTAAGTTTGAAATCATTTTCTGTTTCTGAGTTGAAAATATTTCTATTGTGCTAAATGTGAATAGAAGGTGTTTAAGTACAAACATGAGCTGTTTGCTGAAGTATTTTACATCTTTATGTACATTTTTTTAATACATCTTTACATACATAAAGTTAACTTTTTAATTCCTGAAAAACCTTTTAAAAGAATTTCATAAAGCAAAACGAAGTGTTTTTCCTGGTGGACCAGGTCATTTAAATGGTATCACGTTCTATTTTGATTTGTAATTTATGATCTAAGCTTCATTTATCTTTCTAGGTTAATATAAATTTCTAACTATATTGGAGATATCTAGTTTTGCAAGTTTGACTTAACCAAACATCCCATACATGATCAACAACCAACTGCTCTCAATCCCAAACTAATAGGGGGTTAGGTAATGTTTCTTAGTATCCATTGTGCTCTATTACATCCTATTTTATTCTAACTGTAGATAATTCGTATTTTAAAAGCAGGGTTTCTCCAAAACTAGATGTTCATATCTTGCATTTATCCCAAGATACAAATTTTTTTATAACACTGAACTTGGTGCAAGTGTAATGATATGATCTATGCCTAATCACATCTAGTTGATCTCTCCTATTGTGTTTTGTTCTTTAAGTCTGTATTGATTCAAGAGATTATAGGTTTTCTTTATCTGCCTATAGTTGATATATCTTGAATATGCACCAAACTTTTTAATTTTAGGTAGTGCTAAATGTTTGAATGCTGGTGATATCTTTGTATCTGCATCTGCCTACTCTTTAGAAACTTTTCTTTGGTGCTACTGTATGCATTCTTCTGTTCAGTGTTCACTAGCAATCTTGATAGCTTGGTAGACGATTATGCCTCCTCATGATTCTTTTTGGCTTGGCAGATTAAGCTATTATTTGATCATTATTGATGTTCTCTCACTAATACTTGTCTGTTCTGTTTATAGATTGCCGCAGGCAAGCATCTGGAAGCATTTTCAATTGAGCTTGTCATGCTTGCAATATGGAAGCAAGCCTTGCATGTTTGTCATACACAAGCGGCATCAGCAATTGAAGGAAGTCCAAACCAAAAAACTGCTGAATTGATGGAGATTTTAAGGGACAGTCGAGTTAGGCCTGACATTAAAAAGGACACTTGTAACAATTTGGGGCCAGAGAATGTGTTATCTCATATTCAAAGAGCATTTCTGAGTGAAGTTGGGAAGGCAGAGGAACTTGCCAAACATATAGAGCCTGGTAAATATTTGAACTTACTGAAAGAAAAAAGTGCATGGTATGATCAAGTACTGAAACTTGTGCTGCGTGCCTTCCTGTTCTAATTGACCTTTTTGTGCTTTATATGTGACCCTTTTCGCAGTTACTGTGCTTTTGGTTTGCCCTTTGTTTTGTTTCCTCCCCTTTTTCTAGTAGGATGATAACTAGCTTTTAATATGCCCGGCTTAGCTTTAATCCATTGTTAGTCAAGAAAAAATATGCTAGCAATCTTTATGGTTTCTCAAGAGGATCTAGAGATATGGAATTACCAACTCTTCCGTAGATGATAAATAGCTGCATTCATCAAATGTTTTCTTTAGCTATTGTCTTACATCTGTCCTTCCTAGTTGTGGTAATGTTTTAAGTTTTTTGCTTGAAAATAACTCATAAACCTACTTATTTATGGCCTTAGCAAATAAAGATGAAGACATTTATGTCTATTTGTTGCTTGTTTCTAGGAAATGCCGAGGTACCAGATGCAATGGAGATGATATTTCAATCTGCACTAGACCTCGGCAGAAAGGGAGCGGTAAGTATTTCATTTTATCTTGGTAGTGTTTGGTAAAAGTGGAACTAATTTCGATTAGCAACAATATATAATTGTCGCCATGTAACATTAGGAAGGGAAAAAAACTTGAAATCTCTAAGATTCAATTTAAAGGATTTACTGGATATTGAAATATGTGGCAGGTTGACGAGTACATGGGTCGGACTGAAGATGCAGTGGTGTTTTATTCAAAAGCAGTACGCTTGTTAGCATTCCTTCAAGTAGAAGCACCATCACTCATTCTAAATCCTCCATTCTCACTGACAAACTCCGATCGCTATAGGCTTAGGAGTTACATTGATGTTCTCAATAACAGGCAAAGTGTTTCAAGGTCTCAAATCATGACTGTGCTCAAGTGTGAGGATCAGCACTGATCCCCGTGAAGGCGATAGATGAGTGAAGAGAAAACTGTTAATATATAATGATGATTTAACATATCACAACTTATTCTGTATAGTTCTTTATCTGTACAGTTATTCTTTCACTAATTTTAAAGAAAGTGAAAAGTCCTTTTATATGGTTTGAAAGCTATTATTACTGTAATTAAAGTTCCTTTCTGAAAATTTCAGAAATGACTAACTTTTGGACATAATTAAGCTTCAGTAGCTATAGTTTAGATATTTACCATTCATAGCAATCGTTTGAGATATTAGGCCAAAGAAATAATCTCTCTCGCCTTTCTTGCTCTCATCTTTTTTTTGTATTTTGTATTTTTATCTTTCTCTGTATTTCTATTATTTTTGAGGTGTCGGGTAGTCGTATTTGTTGTGTTAATACGTGCATTTGAGTTGTATCAACGAATACAACTTTCATGTATATAATATAAAGATACAAACAACAAAAAATACAGAGGATTATATTTATTTCCTCGAATTGCAATTGTATTCATTCGTTCTTGTATCACTTGTATGCATATGTGCCTTTAGGTTGTATTGATGAATACAAAATGTATGTATACAAAAATACAAACAACAAAAAATATAAGGGATTGTATTTATTCGTTCTTGTATCACTTGTATTCATGATCATATTTAGACAATATCAACGAATACAAAAATACAAAAGATTGTATTCATTCACTCTAATGTCACTTGTATTTTTTTCACTCTTTTATTCATTTACTCTAATTAAATTCTTATTTGACCCACTCAGTTCAATCTCACCTCGTTCAAGCCCCACGGACCAACAGACTTATTCACGTTAAACTAAAAAGTCATGTTCTTAAATCATAGTCCAACCTTACCTATATCGTGTGTATATATTTATTTTTATATTGGAATAATTACAAAGATCTCATCTCATGTTTCGCTCCATTACACTTACATTCCTTGTGATTTAGGGTATTACTCTTACCCAACTTGTGGGAGTTAATAAGAAGTTTATTTCTTTGAAAAAAGATTATTACACCAACATTTGGTTTAATTTTGAATTTTTACTGTTTCACATTTCTATTTCATTTATTGTTCTCATTTCCTCCTTTATTTCAAGTTTAACTGATTTACTCCATGTATAATTTTTGCAGGTCCCTTTGACATTGAACGTATCGCCTGCAGAACCAGGATAATAGTTCAGTTCAATACGAAGCAGCTTTCTTCATTTGGAGAATCCGACACATACGATATCGAAAGTAAGGAGTCCGCACAACTTATTTCAGTACCATCTTAATTGCAATAGTATTTTTGTGCAAATGAGCAATTCTAATCATTTTTAAAGGGAAAAGCTCAAATATGACATTAAACTTTGAAAAAAGACTCATCTTTGTCATCCGTTAAAAGTTTGATTCATCTATAATATTTCAGTTAACAAATAATGGTATGGGCGAGTTTTTTCTCAAACAGAAATGGCATAGATGAACCAAACTTTTAACGGAAGACATAGATGAGTCTTTTCTCAAAGTTCAATGGCATATTTGAGTCTTTTCCCTTTGTGAAAATATTGATAGGTACTTGTATTTTGATAGCTGAGTATGAAATTTCAAAGAGTGCTTTGAATCAGGTATTTTCTCTCTTTTCCATAGATGATAGAACTCATACATGTCTTAAAGAGGAAATGAAGGAATTATATTTCCTTTTAGCTTATCAGAATACATTGATATTACTATTTTAGTGAACTTCTTAAATAAAGTTTGAAGAATATTTACATGAACTAAGCCATTGCTTCATGATTATCCCTATCATCACAATCAGCCACAGACATAGTTGCTTTACAGTGAACATTATTGTACGAATAATTCCTCGCAACAATGACATAAACACACAAATTCACTGCTGTCATGATAGCTAACAACCAGTAGAAATAGTCGAGCCGGCTGCTATTTAGATCCTTTCCTAACCAACTCTTACCATTTTTTCTGTGATATGATCCACAAATGGTTATCAAATGAAATTTGCAGCACCATTTACACTAAGGTATAATGCAATGCCCAAGCTTCTCATAGAATCAGGTACTTGGTCGTAGACGTATTCTTGCAATCCCACTTAAGGCAAATCCATCTGCTATTCCAAGGATAAGGAACTTGAGCCTTCGAGTGGATTTTTGTGAACAAGATTCAGTCTCTTTCTCTCAACCAAAGCTGCAACGATCATGATAGAAACGGAGAAGATCATTCCAATACCGATCATTTGGAGGATACTAATCCCTCTCTCATTTCCTGTTGTCCTTCTCAAGAAAGGTACAAGAATTTTTTCATAGAAAGCAACAGATATATTATCATGCCAACAACTGTCAGGGCATAAATTGAGGCTGGGGGGAATCTTGAAATTGTGAATGATCTTCCGGTTCATTGTCACGCCTGGTTTTCTGAAAAAAGTTACAGCTAGCGATACACATATACCAAATGGTATAGTGATTTTCATCATCAAACTGATCAGCTCCAAAGCTCTCAAGAGAAGGCTTGTGTCCTCTGGTTCCAATAGAGATTAAATAGATTGCTAGAAAGAAGATTGGCTCATGGACGTTCCTCCGTTTATCACAGAGGTCACTCTCACAAGGTTTTAAGCTCCGGACCACTCTAGACATTGTCAAGAGAAGCAAGCCCTGATCCACGTTTAAGCCAGAACAAGTAAGAGAAAATTCATCGATTCGTTACAATGTCTTAAAGTTCAATGATTCTAGAACCAAATTTGTGATCCGATTTTCTCTTGTTCAAATTGGACTTCCGAAAAGTTTTCATTATTTATCTAGAAGTAGAACATTTTAACCAACCATGTTAATCCGATTTTCAGATTTTAACAGTTGATTAGTGTTACTACTCTAGTAGGGTCAACAGCTTTTGGCACATGTTTTTCTTTATCTTAAGGAAGTACTCTAAACTGACATTTCATGTTGAAAATTGCAAGGAGCGGAAATTTTGTTTGCCAGGAAGTAGACCGTGGAAGAGGGAAGAATGGTGGAGAATCGTCCCAAGTATGCATCAACGAGAAAGCCTCCCAGCAATGGCATCAAGGTAGTGACTCCTGTCCAGTAATTGACACTTTTTGCTGCTGTTTTGAGGTCTTGATGGGTGACTTTTGTTAGGTGTATAATCAAACTTGTGGCTATTCCAAAGAAGCTCAGCCTCTCACTGAATTCAATCACTGTTAAGGTAACAGTTCATCAGTATCTCCATTTACATAACTATAAAGGAGCATGTTCAACAAAATGTAAAATTTAAATTTCTTGATCTTCGAGTTAGTGTAAATCATGAGGGCAACATAAACTAGAAATATAAGTGAAGCTATTTGGTACGTATTCTAGTTGTTGGATAGATGCTTACCGATATAATAAAGAGGCAGGCCTTCCATACACCAGTTGAACTCCTAAGGGAAACTCGTCCTTTATGATCAACCGAAGAATCTCATCAACTTCTACTGATTCTGCTCTTTATCTTATGCTTCTTTGTTGGCTCTCAAGTACCAAAGAAGATATATTAGTACTCAAGTGGTTGATATGAGAAGTTGGTGGGTTAGTTAGTTTGTTCACTTTATATAGGAAGAAATTCCTCTTCATTGGCATTGTCAAAGTTCCTCAGAATATGAGTAATGAGCCAATGATTGTGACTTGAGGTTGACAAACAATTCCTTCCACTAAACTAAAGCAGTCCTTGTCCCTTAACTCAGCGAATGGCATTTGATGCTGAAATCAGATTCTTCTATTTGGATCGATCTCCTGCCACAAAAGTGGCAATGATAGATATTATAGCGGCCTAATTCGACTATACTTACAAGAGGAAAGCAATTGAAGTGACTGAGATTGAACAAGTAATTTTATTTCCATTTAGCTTATCAGAATACATTTTTATAACTATTACAGTGAACTTCTTAAATAAAGCTTGATGAATATTTACATAAACTAAACCATTGCTTCGCGATTATCCCTATCATCACAATCAGCCACAGACATAGTTGCCTTACAGCGAACATTCTTGTACGAATAATTCCTCGCAACAATGACATAAACACACAAATTTACAGCTGTAATGATAGCTAACAACCAGTAGAAGTAGTCGAGCCGGCTGCTGTTTGGATCCTTTCCAAACCAACTCTTGCCACTTTTCTCTGTGATATGATCCACAATGGTTATCAACAGGCTGCTAATGAAATTTGCAGCTCCAATTACACTAAGGTAAAGTGCAATGCCCAAACTTCTCATGGAATCAGGTACTTGATCATAGAAGAATTCTTGCAATCCCACTAAGGCAAATCCATCTGCTATTCCAAGGATAAGGAATTGTGGGGCTAGCCAAAACACACTCATTGAACTCGAACCTTCGAGTGGATTTTTGTCAACAAGATTCAGTCTTTTTCTTTCGACTAAAGCTGCAACGATCATAGTAGAGATCGAGAAGATCATTCCAATACCGATCCTTTGGAGAATATTTATGCCCCTCTCATTTCCTGTTGTCCTTCTCAGGAAAGGTACAAGGATTTTGTCATAGAAAGCAACAGATATTATCATGCCAACAGCTGTCAGGGCATAAATTGAGGCTGGGGGAATCTCGAAATTGTGAATGATCCTCCGGTTCATTGTCACGCCTTGTTTTAAGAAAAAAGTTGCAGCTTGTGCTACGCATATACCAAACGGTAAAGTGGTTAGCCAAATAGGTATCATGTTGATAATTAGCTTCAGTTCTTCCACATTGGTGACAGTTGCAAGTTTCCACGGATTCCGTTGCTGTTCTGTCGAATCTTGAGTTTGATCTAGGATTGCTGCTTTATCAAGGAACCTGTAAAGTATGATAAAAAATTGTTTTCAATGATATATTTATAAACCTTTCCTGAGTAATTGCATAACCTAATCACGACTAAGTTTGAATCTTACTTTAGCCTTTTGGTGTGGCCTAAGAGCCTCCTTTGGGTAGTTTCTGACTTGGGAACTTCATGTAGATGAAAAGGATCTGAAGGAAGTTGAAGGCTTCTTTTCCGAATTGCAGCTACGAGCACGTTTAGCATGGGTGTTAATGGACTTCCAGTCGTCTTCCTAAAACGATACACTGGCTTCCCTGCATAGAAGATGGCTATACTAGAAGCCATAACTAGTGTGAGTATTACATCTGCCATGGCCCAGCTAACATGCTCTT